GTATTTCAAATGCTGCTGCTCTCATCTTATCTGCAGTATTGCAGATTTTCTAGGTTTCATTAAAATCATGAAATCCATTTTGAATTACAAGCTATGCTAAATCCAACATTTATAAAGATAATAATGTTCTTGTTGCATGTTTTTGTATAAACACACAATTTAACAACTTGCTGTTGAAATTGTTGGGGAAAAAAAATCATTTTATAGCTTCATAATGCAAATAATTGCCTCTCTTTTTGTTTGCAGGTGTATAATCTAAACAGAGACAACCAAACTGAGGCCAGTAAGTAGATTGTTTTTATAACCTAAAAATGGATTTGAGGATAACCTAATTTCAGCTGTCCTAATTTATTTAGTAATGTTTCATTTCTAAAAAATAAAATAATAAAAAAAAAAAATAAGAGAAAAAGTAAACTTTTTGGAGATGGCTGAACGTTGAAACAAATCTGGAAGGGGAGTAGTTTGTATCATTAGACCCTTTCAGTGAATTTGCAACATTAATTCATCTGGAAAACCAGCGAACCCTTAAAGTCCACTCAGTGTATTACGATGAGGTGCTGTTGAAATTTTTGATTTATGACAAAGGAAAAAAACCATCAAGCAATCATAATCGAACATTCAGAAATTGTTCAGATGATCAAATATAAAGGAGGTAAAATTGCCTAATAAAGGCCTTCTCTTTGGTTAGGGCGATAATAATAAAAAAAAAGACATAAGGAAAATAGAGTGAAATTATTGAACTTTTTAACCTTTTACCACATTTCAGGATTCAAACATAGAGGTATAATATTGCAATTTTTTGTTAAGAATCAATAACAAGTGGGACACAATCATGAAGTGGATTAAAAAATTGGTTGGATATTTTAATATATCCATAATATAAATCCAGAGATGCAGCCAAGAGGCCCATGATCACTCTGGAAGAACTGTAGAGATCTATAGCTGAGGTGGGAGACCCTGTCCATAAGATAACAGTTTGTTTGTTTTTCTTCTGGAAGAAAGCCAATTCTTAAAGATATCCAAAAAAGTCTTGATTAAAGTTTAGCACAAACAACCTGGGAGACACAGCAAACATGGAAGAAGATGCTCTGGTCAGATGAAAAATTCGAACATTTCAGCAACAAGGCAAATCATTATGTTTGGCATAAAGCAACAGAGCTCATCGCCCTGAACACATCATGGTTTGGGCCTGCTTTTCTTCAGCAGGGACCGGGAAGAAAACCTGTTGGAGTCTGCAGAAGACCCGAGACTGGGACGGAGATTTAAATCTACAATGGAATGGTTCACAAACAAACACATCCAGGTGTTAGAATGGCCATTTCGGAGTGCAGACCTTAATATACTGGAGAATCTGTGGAAAGAACTGAAAACTGCTGTTCATAAACGCTCTCCATCCAACTTCACTGAGCTCCAGCTGTTTGACAAGGAAGAATGGGCAAAAATTTCAGTCTCTCAATGTGTAAAACTGATAGAGACAAACCCCAAGCGACTTGCAGCTGTAATCGTGGCAAAAAGTGGCACTAAGAAGTATTAACTGAAGGGGGATGAATCATTTTGCACACCCATTTGTTCAGTTTTTTATTTGTTAAAGTTTGAAATATCCTAAGCGTTTCTTTCCACCTCATGACTGTGTCCCACTTGTTGATTCTTCACAAAGAAATACAATTTAACGTCTCTGTTTGAAGCCTGAAATGTGACAAAAGGTTGAAAAGTTTAAGTGACTGAATATTTTTGGAAGGCGCTGTAAAAGAGGTGAGCAGTGACATCTTTTTTTAACACCTGTGGTGTCATTTCAGCTGACTGTACTCAGATTCCCCGGCTGGGGAAAACTGACACTGCCCATCTGAATATTCTGAATGAGCACATTTTTTAATTTTCACAAGATAACGTCATACAGCAGTCTAACTCTTGTAGTTTAAATAAAAACGTATTGGAACCTAAAGGAATTTCTTGTAAGGATGAGAAGCATTTTAAGATTGTATAAACATCTTAAGACTAAAGATCATGTCATGTTGTATTTATATAAGCTCCTAATCGTCTCTTGCTCATTCTGTTTGTCTCTCATCCCCAGTGGCCCAGCTGGATGTCACTGGGTTCAACATCATGAAAAAATTCATCTACGCCGTGGAAACTCGAGGTAGACTATTAACAGTATATCTGCTTGGTTGCTCTCCTGCTTCATTCATTTGGTTTATTGAACTTCTGCATATATTCACTGGACATCTGCTTGACCAGATTACACACCGACCTTTTCAGTATGCGTATTTATAGAAGATTATTTACTTAAAATATGTAAGAAATTGCTTTTTTTGGGGTAAAGATTCCTTATCTGACCAAGAATAGTTTTTCCCTTATTTGAAGCCTTTGATATGTTCCATATATGTTGTTATGCACATCAGTGCCTTTCTTTGACGTTTGATCATTTTTTCTTCACTTGCTTTTTTTTTAATAACACAACAAATGTTGTTTTTTTGCTTTTTCTATTTAATCAGAGTATAACATTTTTCAATAACTGCATTTATTTTCTTTTTCTGTGATTTGTTTCACTTCTATTTGCTGTACTTGTAGCTCACTAAAAGTGGTCTCCTCATTATTTATCCTTTTATTTAAGGCAAATTTATTTATAGAACAATTCAGTACAAAGACAATGCAAAGTGCTTAACATGATTAGAATATAGGAAAATAAAACAGAATCAAAGCAAGTAGAAAAAATACATAAATAAAAAATAAATAAAAAAAGCTGTAAGCTTCTCTATTATTTTATTTTTTTTATTTTTTGCAGAGTTCTTAATCTGACTTTAAAGAGACACTGTGATTATGGGAAAATGATAAACCCTACATCTAAATTATTTGTCCATTGCTGGTTAATGTAATCTAATTTCCGGCCCTTTTATCAAGCTAAACAAAAACCTAGATTGACAACGAACCAGAAGCAGAAAAAAAAATGCATCCCACAGGATGTTGATGTATTTTGATATTGCTGTTCTTATTGCAGGAATTAAGGTTATATGTAATGCGACATCCTTGACATTGCAAGCCGTGTTGCTAAAAGTTTAAATCTGGCTCGAATGAATCTGCATCTCTGTGATCTTTCTGGACACTCGTGGCCTTCACATGCTCCTCTAAAATGCCACAGTAAAGGTCTCCATGATTGAAAAATAAAAGGAAAAAAAGGACCTTGTTTTGTCAGTCGCCCCAAGAACATCAGTTCCTGCTTCTCTATGCTGCTTTACATTTTAGCAGATAGAGCCACATTGTAATATTTAATTGAATATGCCCTTGTTATTGGATCTGTTTTGATTAAAAACTGAGTTTAGTGAAACAGACTAAAATGTACCGATATGGTGTTTCTTTAAATACAGCCTGACTGCTTTAGAACCATCAAAGTTTTAGGTTTTCTCACTGATTCATGCCAGCGTTCGATAAAGCTTGTAACTAAGCATGCCAGGTCATTACATCATCACTTATACCACATGTTTTGTTTTTAGTTTTTTATCCACAAATAGTGCAGCAAAACCTTTTTAAATTACTCTACAATCAATGTAACCAGATGTTCTACTTTACTTTAATAAGGTGATATGGACGCCTTTGATGCTTTGAATATTGACTTTCTCTACGCCTTCACACACAGATGTAAGAGTGCATTGCCTTTATAAGCGGTAGTGGTTTCTAAAATGGACCTAAATGTGGCTCTTCTCCCAGGGTGCTTTAGTGTTAGGGAGTGGCAGTTCATCTTTGTAATAGAATTAAATAGAAAGACATTATTGTCTATCATACACAACGATGTATGATAGACAATAAGGCTTGCTCACACCCAATAGTGTAATAAAATATATTAACATAAAAAAATTACTTTAGGCAACAAGTTATTCAGCTCCTTGATGGCAGTGGGCACAAAATGGCATGAGGAAGTCTGCATGTCTGCCGTGATGGAAGGAGCTCAGAGTGACGGGAGAGTGGATGGCTATTGTCATCTGTGATCTTATGAAAGACCCGATGCAATCCTTTACTGTAATTTTTTCTGTGTCATATTTGATTTCATTTGTGTATATTGAAAAAAGGGCAATAATATGCACCCTTGGGGCAGACCTTTATTTAGCGTAACACTGTCAGACATCACACTAAGACAAGATGGCTACTGTTTAAACCACACCGATGATATGTATAGAAGTTGGTCTCTGTTTTATACCAAGATTCTTGATAAGCACTTGATTATAGCCATGCTACTTTTTTCTATAATGGAATTGATCAACAGTACAAACTTTATTACTAAAAAAAAATGCTGCAGTCAGTTATGTAACACGGTTATGTGATGCTGTGGGCCACCCTCCCTTTCATAGCTCAAGGAAACTGGAGCAACTCCTTAGCTCCTTACATTGTTGCTCCAATTAAATATGCATCCATTTCAATGCTTATAGGCCATTTTTAACTTAAATAGAGGCGTTACGGTTAGTTTATGTTTATGCATTTAGCAGACACTTTTATCCAAAGCAACTTACAAAATAGAAACAGTTTTACAGTTATGAAAGTAAGTTCTCTAGAGGAAAATTTCAAGTTATAATCTGTTGTGACAACAAACAGATAGTGGGAGGTACAGAAAGAGTAGCAGAGGTGTTCAGAGCTATCGGTAAGAGTTAGGATAAGAGATGCTTTTTGAAGAGGTTGGTCTTTAAGAGTTTCCTAAGAAAGGGATGCTGCTGTTCTTGTAGCGCTTTGTAGGTCATTCCACCATCTTGGAACAACCAATGAAAACAGTCTGGATTGTCTTAAGCGTGGTGTAGGCTCTGCTAGACGACAATCCATTGACGACTGGAGTCACTGAGTTGTGACATAAGCATTTGCAAGAAGGTTCAAGTTGTTAGTTAATGAAGGAGGCTCCTTGTTTAATTTTTCCAAATAAATTTTTCTGAGTTTTATTTTAATATGTTCAATATTCTCTAGTAATTTCATTAATGTTTCCATAGAATAACATCCTGGTATTGTCTCTGCTCCTTCAGGTATTGGGGAGCAGGGCTTGTACCGTATCGTTGGCGTAAACTCCAAAGTACAGAAACTACTGAGCCTGGCTATGGGTAAACACAAAACACTCACATAACAATGTCCAAATTTCTTAAGGGGAAATCATCTACTTATGTTTAAAAAAAAAACATTTCACCATTATTGATTTTAAGTGAACAATTTGGTTTATCAGATCCTAAGACGTGTGCTGATGTGGAGCTGGACAACCCAGAGTGGGAGATTAAAACAATAACAAGTGCAATCAAGTTTTATCTCAGGTATGTGTGGGAAAACTGATCTGATTTGTTGCTTCCTGTCTTTATAATAACTGGACAGTTTCTGATAGATTCATACCCTAAAATGACAGTTTAATTCCCTATAACCTCGATGCATATTACTCTACCTGTCATCTCTTGTTTGTCCAGGATGTTGCCTGCACCTCTCATGACATATCAGTACCAGAGGAGTTTCATCAAAGCTGCCAGTAAGTCTCATATTATTCTGCATCAAGATAAACAGCTATTTAAATAAAAGAGTGATTGTAGCAACAACAGGAAAGATCTAATTTAAGTCGAATTTCCATCCTGTAGGTAGATTTTAGTAGTTGCTATTTTAAGATGTAATCCTTCTGAATTACATAGGGATGATATCAATAAGTATGTTTTTTTTTTACGCTTTTTTATGTTTTGGGAAATCCTTAGATGACTTTTAAAACACAACAAATACAATTCTGCATCTGAATGACATAAATGGGACTTAATTTATTCTTATAATTCTTCTGTGACACAGATTGCCTCCAGCCAGCGTGTGGATTAGAAGTATTACACAGATAAGGGTCAGATTTGACATGAAGGTCAAAAGCCGAGGGTTTCTGAACTAAATGGTACAAACTCTGTGAGGGAGTTATGTAATTCCAAACCACAGCTTAAAAATTATCTATTTTTGTATGTAAAGCGCCCGTTGTGGAGGAAAAAAAAAAAAAAAACTTGGCTTACTCAGCCATTTTAAAGATTGATTATCTCTACTGTCCAACAGCCAAAGCAATCGTTTCAGTCCACTGCATTCCTTTCCTGCTGCTGCTGCTGGGATACAAAATAAACTTCTGAAAGCAGAGGCTGGCTCAGACTTTCTTCCCAAAGTCATCAGCTAAATTAATGTCAGTTTTGATGTAAATTAATATGAAGAGCAAACATTTATGTTAAAAAGCAAAACATAAAAGGAGTGTGTAATAACTGCACGCCTACCAAGCTACTGTAATCCACCTAAAATGATGGGTCGGGCAAGGAGAACATCAGAGAAGCAGTCTCGTTAATCAGTCTTAAGCTTAACGAGTTGGAGAAATTGTTCAATTAAAAAGGTTTTAATTAATAAAAAAGTTGAAATAAACATATTCTAAGACTAAACTCTGTAGTTGCAACATCATTTGAAAAATGTTACAGGAGATATGAATATTATATGTTTATGAACAATATGTAATTTCTCTTGTTAATTATAATCTTTTCTACTGTATGTCAAAAGATCAGGAGTAATTCAGTTTAACCGAGTCAGGTTTTAAAAGTTGGACGGACAGGTTTTCCGTGTTTGACTGCGGCTAATCCTAAAGAAAGAACGACAGCAATGCTGGCCTCCGGGAAATGACTGGTTGTCCCTAGCAACACTACCAGGATGCAGCGTTGTATAAAGAGAAGCCAAACAAGGGTGGAGGGGGCGGTCAACAGGGCTTGTGGAAGTTTAGTGTGTAAAACAGCTGGTTTAAAGACATTCTGGAATTTTTCTCTTTATAATGTTTGCTTAAAACCTTTTTTTTTGTTTTATTTTTTTCACTTTTCTTATGTCAGAACATCTCTGTGGTTTGAAAAACTATATAAGGAGGAATGTGGCTGAATATTGTTTCTTTTCTCCTCTCACTTGGCAGAGCGCCGTGAGAACGCTGTCCTGCTTTGAACTCTCTCTGCCAGCTCCTCCCTCTTTCCCTTCTCTTTCACATCTCGTCCCTCCTCTGTCACTCATCTTCCCCCCTCCTCATGTTTCCTCTCATCCAATGTATAGAATTTCAGGTTGAAACATAGAAATGAGACAAAGATTCAAAAAGTAAGTAGTCTTGTGGGAGCAGGTTTTGTGTAGAGTGGAAGAGAAAGAAGAGGAAGAGCAGAAGGTGTGGCAGGATGGAATCTGTCTTCTGATACCTGTCTTTTGTGAGAACTGACAGGAGAATACCAAATGCATTAACTTTCCTTAGAACTGACATTTAGTTTTGCTTGCATGTTTTTCCCATGAGTTTTTAAATTTTTTTTTTTCTGTATACATTTCCTGCATTATTATTTCTTCAAACCCCTCTAAAAGTAAAAAAAACAACTATTCATTATACTGTTTTCTATTAATCCAAATTAATGAATTCCAAATAGAAATATGAGCCGGTGCTGCAGAAAGCTTTTTTGCACACAACTAGTCTAGCAAGTCAGCATTTCCCTCTTAAACAAATATCAACTGATATCTATCTTTTAATCATCGCTTGGTTTCACCCGATGTGTGAAAAGATTGTTATTCTCCTCCCGGCTATCCAGAAGGGATGAGATAAATATTTGATTGAGTGATATCTCTAATACTCACTGCCTTTTGTAAACCGGTGACTTAAATAGACAGGTGGTACATCAATGGAGTCCTTAAAACACATTGTCATCCTGAAAGCTTCTGAGACACATATATTATTGGATTTCAATGTGTTTTGTTAGAGCAGTTGATGCCTCCGAATAGAACAGATATCGAGATGTTAGCTGGACGGTTTGCCTTCAAGCGTCATCTACCAACCAGATGCCGGCGGCGCGGGTTTGTTTCATAGAAAATAATGAGGGTTTCTCATTTGCTTGTCTCATGCCGCTGATCTGTGTTGCCCTTTATTCCTTTCCCTAATGTCAGCTCAGGGCTGAAGGTTGTTGCCACTCATTTGTCAAGCAAATGTATTTACGCCCCAAGGTTTGCATATATGAGGAACAGTTAAGGGCTTGAATTACTTCTCAAACCGGTTTAGTTTTTTCACTAACATTGTTGCTTTTCATATAGATAGCCTTTCTAAAATAGGTAAAGTAAAATCTGTATTTTTTTGTTACACTTTACCCAGAGATAAACAATTTAGTTAACTTAGTAAAAGTTATTTAGTGAAAATATGGTGAAAAAAATGACTTTTCAAGTTTCTGCTACTGGAATCATCTTCATACCAGGACTAGTGTTTCACCGATACCGATACCAGTATCGAACGGGGCCCCGATACTGCCCTAAAATGGTGGTATCGGCGAGTACCAACAAATAGTGCATCAATACCATTTTGAGAGCCATAAGTTTATTCAACTATTGTCACCCACTCCAGGTAGGCAATAAAAAGTTCTACTGGATTAACTTGGTATTAGATTTTTTTCTGCTTCACAAAGGTAGGCAGCAGCTTGACAAAGCCATGATGGCAATTATTTTACATGCAAGTAGTATGCGGTTCTTCATATATACACACACACACACATTTTAAACAGGTGATATAGGTATGATATCGATATCAGCCTATACTGCACAGCCAGGTATCGGTATCGGAGCCAAAAAATGGCATCGGCGCAACACTAACCAGGACCCCTGCATGACTCTTCTACCTCCATGCTTTACAACTGGAATGGGTTTTATCTTTATTTTATTTTATTTTTTCTTGAATGCTGTATTTCCTTTATCAGGGTTTCCATGGATCATTAAAAATCATTAAAAGTCATTAAATTATTATTTTTTAAAATTAAGGCCTTAATTGGCATTAAAATTCATTAAATGTGTTTATTGTGGAATTTAAAATGCTTTATTTTAAAAAAAAAATTTATAAAAGCAATTTCGTCAGACATACTGCATCACAATATATTTACGTGGAACTGCGTCCGGTTGATCGCAAAGCTGTATGTTCAGAAAATAAGCTTGAGTCTGAGAAAAAGCTAGAGAATGGGGGGAAAAAAGCAAATTTTAACAAAAGTGGTTGGGAAAACGAGAAATTCGGGACATGGCTGCAGCCTGGCGACGGGTACCTGTTGGTGGTATTAAAATGATTTCTTAGAGCATTAAAAGAGCATTAAATTTGAGTTATTCATTCCTGTATAAACCCTGTTTATGCCAATAGGGTCATTTATTCTTCATTTTCAGATTTACTTGATAAAACAAAGAACACGACCCTGAGCATCCTCTTCATCAAACAAGCATAAAACAGAGGTGTCTTCTGTCAGAGTCTTCTCCTGAGCTGCTGTGAGAAAGACTTTGGAAGATCTTTCCACCTTAGAGCCATCATCTCATATAACTTGATCAAAGAAAACTTGTTTTATGAATTATAACAGTGTTTCCCAACTTTTTTTGATTTGTGAACCCCTTTGGGCATTTTGTCTTACCATGAGCACCCCTCTCATTTAAAAGTATCTGGCCTTTAAAGACTGTGCAACACTTGGCTGCCTAACAGTTGCCCAAAAGTGGAGCGTACAATAACTGATTATAAAATAAAATATATTTTAATCAACTTAATTTTTTAAGTTGAGCATTTAATTGTGATGCATTTTATGCTTTCCATCTCAAATAAAAAACATAAATATGTTGCCTGGAAATGAGTAAGGAATCAAAATAAATACAAAATAAAATCATATTATAAACCTGTATTTATAAAACAGGCGCTCCTCTGAGTATCTCCTCTATCATATTTAAACTTGATAAACTGGGAACAAAATATTGAACATTATAGTCAGACTCACTTAATTAGTTTTACTTTGTTTTCATCAAAACTCCTGAGCTGCTTTGATGAGCTCTGATAGCTTAGTGTGAAAAACAGCAGATACAGTACAAGGCTGTTCTCTACATCCAGTCTGTTCCTCTGCTTGATTTAGATGTGTGTCACAGCAGAAGGTGAACTTAAATAAAATCTTTCTTTTTGGTTGATAAAATCAATTGGATCCTAACAAAGTAGAATAGATCCCAGTCCGATTTTATTTTACTACCTAATAAATAAATAAAGGGGAGTGTTGGCCTAGTGGTTAGAGCAGTGTGCTTGTGCTCTGAGAAGGTTGCAAGTACCCCGTTTGATCCACACAGCCTCCACTCTGGGTTCGTGAACAAGACCCTTAACCCCACACTGCTCCCGGGGCACCACACAATGGCAGCCCACTGCTCCCCAAGGGGATGGCTTAAATGCAGAAAGTGGATTTCCCCATTGTGGCACAATAAAGGGATTTACATACATGTACTCCTTACAATGCGCACGCAGACCACTAGGAGTTTTGAGTACCCCCAGTTGGGAATCACTGAATTTCCTCCTTTAGTTTCCCTATGGGAAAATTTAAGGATTTCAAATGGAACTGAATCATCAAAATAAACAAATTTTACTCTAAATTGTCCCAGATATATTTTTTTCTCTACATCCTGGTATTTAGATGCGTTCTTTCAGGCAAACTTTAGATTAGCCTTCATATTTCTCTTTAAGATGCCACAAGTCTTTTGTATTATGGCAGACAGAAAGCTTCATTAGCCTGTTGTAGACCCCTGTATGACATTTTAGTGTTTTTTTTAATACTTATTTCTGCATTTTGCGCCCTGCTGTTATGCTCAGGTCCAAGGATCCGGGCCTGTATACAGAAACTTTGTCAGGATTAAAGTGTGTGAATGAGCTTTTCAGCCCTGTACTGCAGTCTGTGGTGCATTACTTTTCCGTTGACAGCCAGAGCTGGAGGCCTGATCTAGTGTGAGCACTTTGTCACCTTCCTGTTGACTTGGAACAGTGATGCTTTAACAGCAAGTCTGTCGGCCTTAACAGTCTACAAGGCTACACGCCTTTCCCAGTTTCCAGCAGTTCTCTCCAAGAAGATAAATTATCTTGCAAATCATAGATTGCATTATGGTGTAAATCATGAAAAAAATGTTGATAGCTTTAGTATTATTTACTTTGCCAACACGTTTACAGCAGAAACTGCATAGATGATTTAAACCTCCATTTGAAGCATAATGTGTGTCTTATGATTCATATGTATAGACATGCTTAATTAAAATCAGCATTTTGTCAAACCTCTGGTGACAAACCTTATGCTTGTACATCTTATGATCTTTCTAGATGATAATTTTCTACTGGGGTGTAACAGAGAGGCTTTAGGGGAAAAACATTCCTACTGCAAATTATTAAAGCACTTTCTGTTTCTCCTTTTCCTTATAATGTTTGTTGTAGCAGGAATCGCTTGTATGTTTACTTTTCTAAGCAAACTACAGTCTATAATTTACATAAACATTAAATGTTGTGCAGTATGGCAATCCAACTAACTAATAAACACATTGTTGCGCTAGCCAGACATTTTATGGAATTTAGGAGCATTTTCTTAGAAAACATTTCTCTTTGGTGTGACTATGAAGAGGGAGAGAAGGAATACACAAAATAACAAAAGCACAAGGTATAATTTTTGGGGTTTAGATTTAGTAAATATTAAAATAGACTAATGATCAATCAAACTTATTTTCATAAAAATATAAAACCTCATTCAGGAAATAAACTTTCCATGAATTTCTATGTAAATGCAGCCTCTACCTATAATGCCTCAGAATATTCTGTGTGTTTTAGGTCTACATAGTCTTTCCCCGTTAATGTTCCAACAGCTGACTGAAAGTGTGAATACAGCTCACTTTCTTAGAAGTGTGCGGTTATAAGGGATTAAGCCTAAAGAGCTAAATTTTGGTTAGTTTTGAGGATTATCTCTTCTTCTTTTGTAAACTCCTGGAATTAGTACTCAAACTATTCCTAAGTCTTATTTTCTTAGACGGTCTTTTAGTTCATTTGCATGATTAATAAAAATGTCCTCCTTTGTTCCAATATTACAATTGAAGAAACACATGTTGACTCTGTTAGCTAAATATTTGGTGCCTCGCTTATATTTTGTTATAATTGCTCATCCATGTCTTTTTTTCTTGAAGAAACTCACCTTTCTTGTTAAATGTGTCTTTCTGCAGAGATGGATAACCCAGAGGCCAGAGTGAAAGAGATCCACGCTCTCGTCCACCGACTGCCTGAGAAGAACAGACAGATGTTAGAGATGCTGATGAAACATCTGAACAAGTAGGTGGAAATAACACAGGTGGACCAAACTCTGACCCTGCAGACTGTGAACGGAGGACAGAGCACCTAAGGCCAAACAGGATGAATTATCTTCCTAGTTTGTTTTGTTTTGTTTATTGGAGAGATTAAAGGTAGAAAGTAGGTTCTTTAAGAAATTACAGAAATTAGACGATTGTGTTAATCAATAAAGTTAGAGCTAAGAAAATCCAAAAAAAGCTTGAATTTTCTGGCTACAATAGAGGTAGATGTTTCATTTCAACAAAGTTAAAAAAAAAAAAAAAATACGCTGGTATTTGTTTTCCAAGTTTGAAGACATTTCGCTTCCCATCCAGGAAGCTTTCTCAATTCAAAATGTCTGGAGTAGCGTTTGAGTTCAGGGCTCATAGATTGGCACAAATAAAGCTTTGTTATGGCTTAGAAAACATACAAATTGAACCAAAAAAACAGCTCCAACCCTTAGTCATTGGGAGTCGTTGAGGTCGTCGTTGGCCTGCAAACCCCGAAACGGGCCCATTTCTCTGATAAGGAAGTGGTTAGGGTCATTGTTGGCCTGGCTGACAACGTAGAGATTTCCGTTTATCATCTGGAGATATTTGAGCTGTCTAGAATTTTCTTCACTACTGTATATCAACCTGAGAAAGGCAACAGGATCTTAGAATGTGGGAGAGGAAATCATGGCGGAGGAACTCGAAGCTTGTTAATATGTTTTTACTGTAAATGTAGAGATATTTTGCAGAGAAAAGTCTCTAAAGCATTCTTGAGGTGGATTGGTTAAATTCTCTAGGAAGCGACGTTAAGTGGATTCTTATGTCTGTTTGGAAAACCTAGTTGGATTTACAAAAAGTAGTGCGTTGATAGGCTTCCATTGGGGAATTGTGTCTTTCACAGGTGGGTCTCTGCAAAAACCAAACACATCTTCTTTCATGTTGCCTTTAAAACGTCTTTACCTCTAACTATAGCATTTGCTTACTCTCCTAGTGGAGCTCAGAATATATGTGACTTGCTAACTTTACTAGTAAGTCTACACACCCTTAAATCTGGATTCAGTGTAAGTTTTAAATCTTCTTACATTTCTGTGAATCCGATGAAGAAATGAATAAAGCTCAGCTTCCCTTTTAGCTTTTTCCTCACATTTGCTCCATTTTTCTACTTTAGCTTAGTATTTGGGGAGAGATTTATAAAAGGATAAGCTAGGCTGAGGCTATGCATTCATATGTTTGCTGGAAAACTGAAGAATAAAGAATTTCCCTTTTTAGCATCGTAGTGAATCCAAGTGGTCACTCAGATTTGCAAAACAACAGTTTTACTGGGGGAAAATGAAAGATCTTGGTGGCTTAGCCAGAGTCAAGAATACATTTGAAAAAAGAAAAGTGCAGTGAGACGATTATGGACCAGAGATGTACTTTTAAAAATATAATAAATATTTGCAGAGCAGTGTATGCAAATGTTGTTATGTAAAAGTTAGGTTCCTACTATGGAAGACAAATCATTTGATTGCTTTCACAATGAATTTGTTTGGCATTAATTGTTCAGCTTTGTTTTCTAATACTGTTATTTTGATTGTAGAACCGTTTATTCCTGCAGCTTTAACCCTTTATAGGGTAAGTTACCATTTGTGCATACCCCTTACAAATGGAGTCCCCCCTCCCTCAGTGAGGTCCACAAGCACAAAAACTTAGATTAACCTCTTGGACACTAGGCCTGTTTTCGAGAAATATGCTTGAAAATATCATGCCCAAAATGAATTGAATATATCTCAAGACCTACAGAGTTTATTTTAATTGTTTTGGTATCAAAATAAAAGCAAGACCCCAGAGAATATGTTATAGGTCTAAAAACCATCTTGGGGCAAGTGCTGAGGACCCAAATTTGGGTCCTCATGTTATGAAAAGGTTGGTAGAAAAAAAAGTTAACAAGTCAAGAAAAAAATGTAAAAAGCCAAATAAAAAGTTCAAAAGTTAATAAGCCTATTTAACAATTATATTTAGGTTTCTAAACTAATAAATGTAATTGCCAGTATCAGAATGTATGCCTCTAAGGTTAATGTTGTACCCAAAAAAAATGTGTTTCTTTCACTCTCAGAGTTTTTTTTCATGAATTTCTTATACAAGCATTTATTTCTAAAATTAGCACTTGTTATTTTTCTTACTTTATTCGGGAAAGTTGGCGTTTCTTGTTATTACATCGACATTATTTTTTACCATCAAAATATCCATATTTTTTTAATGTTGCGAAGGTAATAGGGTCTTGTCCTGGATTCCAATAACACTGTTGGCTTGAAATTTTGATTTTTAAGGTATTTCCCTAAGAGCCCTATAAAGCAAATACCTTGTACATAACTATACATGGCAGATATATTGTATGTCAAGGCAAGGAAAGCGAGTTTATTCATAAAGCACATTTCAGTGGTAAAAATATTTAGAGTGCTGTACATATACAGTAAATGCATGCCTTTCAATAGTCAATTTGAGCATCAGCCTAAACAAAATCATGGTATGACATCGGTGGCTTATGCATAAGTATCCGACTGACATTGTGTATTGAGTCTAAACCCTGTGGATTTATCAGGCTTTCCTTCTAGAGCAGCAGCAGGCTACAATCTGTGAGATGGGCCATTGTCCATATTTATACTGCATGTGGGTAAGAGCATGCAGGCCTTTTGGCAACGGCCACATTTCCATGAGCTTTGAAGGATTACAGCTGTCGATTGCCATCATCATAACTGGCTTTTATAGGTGATAGTATCAGAGCACGCCTTTGGTTTTTACGGTTTCCTATCTGTATCAGCCTGAAGGTTGATTCATTGTATCATTGGACAGAATGAGTTCAATGTGTAAAAGGTTAAAGGCATAAACGATCTCCAACTATAGGTGAAAATCATAAACATGATTAGATAACGAGAACTGATTGAAATATTCTTATTTTTTCCATATATAGCATTGTTTTATGACCATATTTATTGGTAGAATAGATTGTATACCATTTATTATGGGTAAACATAACATACTTGTCTTAACTAACTCTGGCTTTACTGACACAGAATGTAAATGTAAATAAGTTGCGATAAAACAAAAGTATCTTGTAAAGTGAACTTCTTTGACCTTTGGTCTTCTCCGTCTCCCTTTATGCTTTGTCCTTTCCTGACCTGCTGCATGCAGACAGGTGATGCCCCCTGTTCTCTCTGCTCTTTCAGCTTTTCTGTAAAGGTCCTTGTCTGGCTGTTGATTTACAGTGGATTTTTATGACTTTGCACACGGTGACAGCTGCAGCCGGGAGCATTTTGCTTTCATTGCACCGGCCCATCTGTCTTCTCCTTTCTCGTAAATAGACCTTCTCTTCAGTCCTTGTAGGAAATTTCATGAATTCCTTGCAGACGTCTACTGTATGTAGGAGACTTATTTGCATGGTGACCTTGTAAAAAAAAAAAATAGCCCTGGCTAAAATGAATAAAAAAAGGATTAGATTAATTCAGATTGAAATTCCAGCAGTTGATTTCAGTGTATTTTTGATTTCCCTTGAGTAACAAACATGGGCAAATTGCAACTTGTAAAAATTAAGGATAGTTACTCTAATATGTGCTGTTTAGACAAAAACCAATCAACTGCATCAAACATTTAAAACCAGCTATAAAGAACTGCAATGGTTGCTGAAAACTAGTCTAACACATCAACAGAGTTCTGAGATTTTTCTGGATTATCTCACCTTAAAAGATTAACGGGGGCCTTTTTATTGTAGCGACACGTGTAAAGATTGCTCAGCTGACGGGAGTCTTGGTATTTATAATCGTGTTTGTAAAATAATTATTTTATGGTAGTGTTTATTCCACTCTTATAACAATATTTTAGACATGCTCATTGGTTTGGTCACGTCTGAAACAACGATAACGATATTCAGTACTGAAGTCTTTGCAATTACTAGGTGAATTTAAGGGCTTAATATTTGAACTACGGCTGAAACAATTAATTTGATTAATCGTGATTAATGATTATTGAAATTATCCTCATATAATTTCATAATCAATTTATTCATTAACTGGAATATAGAGACTCTAAACATGCTTTTAGCTGAAACAGCAACCTACTTACAGTAGTAATTATACTACAATTGTAAAAAAAAAAAAAAATAATAATAATATTTTACATTTAAGATTTAAAAAAAAGTTTTTTCATCGATCCGTATATCCAGAACTCATTGGGTGGAAACGTTTTAGTTTCACCTGATTTAATTTTGTAATAAATCTTCTAAACATTTTGCTATTAATGAAAATAATCGAAACATAAATCAATTAGGAATATAATCGTTGTTTGCAGCCCTTATTTGAACATCAACTCCGCACTGAAAAAGGTTATCTTTTAAATTCACCTTGATCAATAGTTTTCCAAAACCTTTCCCAAGGTCTTTGGGTGAAAATGAATGAATGAAAAGGAATTTATTTCAGACAATTTAAGATAATTTTGACAAATAACAATAAATGAATCAACCAAATACACACAAAAAGAGACTGTTTATTATCAAACCAAACGAAAAACCAATTACCAAACTAACTAAATTCCCCTTAACATAAATAGAAACAAAACCCTCCACCAATTTTTTAATTGCTCTTAAATCAATGTTGAGTAACCTTCCTATTTTATATATATATAAATGTATATGTATATTTCAAAGGTTTATTGGACTTTTCCAACAAAAGTTAAAATAGAATAGATTTAGCAATTAATTAAATACCATAAAAAAAAACAAGGAAAAGTTATGGTTATTATTTTTTTTCTATTCTTCAGTTTTTTTTAACCCTAAAATGTTTTGACTTTCAGGATTTGCTAAACATTGTTTTTACTTCATAAACCTAAAAGAAGAACAGGACTGTAATCAATATGTGTCACAGAAGGAAACAATACGCTTCTATGTTCAGTCTGTTCATCCATTTTTTGAAGCCAATTCTAGTTCACTGAGGGATGAGTCAATGCGGTGCTGCTTTCTCTTTGTCTTTGCCTCATAGTGTGGCCAGCCATCACCAACAGAACCTGATGACTGTGGCCAATCTAGGTGTGGTCTTTGGTCCAACTCTGCTCCGTCCGCAGGAGGAGACAGTCGCTGCCATCATGGACATCAAGTTCCAAAATATTGTGGTGGAAATTCTCATAGAGCACCATGAAAAGGTAAAAGGAACAGCATTCAGAATGTATTATTCTTATTTAAAATATAATTTATTGAGCCTAATTGTTGGAGGTGAACATGCTCACATCACCTTTAAGTGCTTTCCAAAGTCACATGTTTTAGGCTGCTTACACATTTTACCATGGCAACGGTGTGTCTGCACGAGAGCCTGCCATTGGACACACAATGTTCAGTCAATGCAGCGAGCAAACATTTAGACGGAGGTAAAAGATTTTTCTGCTGCATGCATGCATTATGACATGCACAGGAAAATGTGCAGGAAATCATTGTCTCATGATATAAATTTATTTAAGCTCCAGGAAGTCAATTTTGTCATAAGTTGCTCATACATACACACTGCTTTTAAACTCAACAGTTGTAATGTGACACATTGTTGGAATAAAATGAATAGGTATATATGGTTTTTATTTATTCTGTTTATAGATATTCAGGGACGTACCAAGTTCAACAGGCAATTCAACAAACATGCAGCCTGAGCCGATGAGGAGAACAAGCACTGATAGTAAACCACCATCTTGTAGCGAGAGGCCTCTCACTCTCTTCCACACCCCAACACATTCTCAGAAAGGTGAGCCCCAAGCAAAAAACACATTTTATATTATAGTTTTCCACTTTTCTGGACTTTGTATATGCTTCTCTTCTTTGACTGTTTTTTCATAGCAAATGTCATCTTGCAAAAAAATTGTTGAATTTTATGTGTCCATCTCGGACAGACAAAGCACACAGTACATGCATTTAGTTTGCTTAGAATAGAATAGAAAATCTCTTTATAATAAACCCGATTCTGATTCTGATTCTGATTATTGTCCCATAGTGGGGAAATTGTGGTGTTACAGCAGCAAAAGGTTATAGCAGCAGTTGTCACACAGTGTGGACCTTAGAAAAGTGTATAAAAATAACAGAATATTGAAAATCAAGCTTTATTTTTTCTAGGTGAAAAGAGGAACAGTGTTGGAAACACTGACCTCCAGCCACCGGCGTCTTCCTCTGCAAACTGTAACAGCAGCAGCAGCAGCAGTAGCAGCACGGGCAGCAACAATCGAACCCCGAGACACAGTCTGACCAGCAACGATGGAGAGCAAGACAGTCGGCAAGTCCGACCCAGCTCACTGTGAGTCAATACCGAGTGCGAAACACTTCAACACACAATCCTCACTGCAATACATGGTCACAGCGGTATCATAATGTGGAGATGTTGCTTGTCCCCTGGATGAAGGCTGCTGATCAGTTTAGATGGAAAGAGTAGGTGAATCCACAAGGGAGTCACAGAGACAAGCCTGAGGCTGAGGTTCACAGTGAACCCAAACATAGAACTAGAGCAGAAATTAATAGTTTAGATCAAAGCACATTTGTGTTAAAATGGTCTAGGCTACAATCCAGCTCAGAATCTATAGGAAGATTTGAAAAAGAAGCTCTCCATCCAATGGGACCAAGGACAATTTTCAATTTCTAGATTTGCAATTGTAACAATTTGGTTTCAAAAGCAGCAAAAACATATAAAGTTACTTTATATTATTATAAAAGGTTCAAAATAAGTGCTGCACTTTTCCCTTTTTTGAAATATAAAAGGTAGACCATGTTTTCTCTATGTACACTACTTTGTTTTGGTTTCTATAAAGTCTTTACATCTTTACTCCTTTCTTAAATGAATATAACTAATTGCAAATTGTTGGATACATTTCATTGAGCTGTAATAACTGTATTAACAGATATACTTTGTATTTTTATGCTCTCTTTTTTAAGCTATGCACATAGGATGTCTTTATATATGTTTTATTAATGTAGTTAAACCAGGATTAGTTTACTGACTTTGCAAAAATGACAATGAGGTAATATAATTAAATGTCAGGTTTTCCTCATGTTGTAAAACAAAAATGATCTTTAATTCTGATTTTCAAAATTCTCCAGCACCACATGAACAAAACACTAGATCATTTTTTTAAGGGAATTTTAATCACGATGTTCAGCCCTTGTTTGTTTACAGAGACTGTGCATTCAGTGGCAAGAGATTGAGTTTTCTGGCATCCTCAGCTGTCGCAGTGGCAGAGACTTTGTGAACAACCAGGCAATGCATGAAACCGGAAAGTTGGCAGTCCCTGAACTCAGCAACTGTTGCTGAAAACAGCTGCTGGATGGTTTTCCTTGAAAACCACCATCAGCTCTCTGAGCCCAACCTAACTGGAGAACTCTCTCAGTATAAAACCGCAAAGCTAACTGTAAAATGATTAAAAAAGGTTGGAAAGTAAAACAAATATCTTAAATATCTGAAATATATATAAAAAAAAAAAAACCTTTTTGAGGGGCTTCATTTCTTCAACTTGATTAAAAATCTCTTTGATGTAGATGGCAACAATTTGACAGAACTATTTATTTTTTTCAAGGTAAAATAAAACACAAGATTCTTTAAAAAAAAAACACCTTTTTAAGATAGAATAAAATATAAAAGAATCCCTTTATACCTTTATATTCAGTGTTTACCCTCTTTGCTGCCACTAGCTTTGTACTTTTCTTCCTGTTTTGTTTTTTGTTGTTTTGTTTTCAATATTATTCTCTCCTTTATTTGTTGGCGCTGTTTCAGCCATGCTTTCTGTCTGTGTACGGGTGGCTGCCCGGCCACATTTGACAGACTCGGCTAATGAGACATTAAGAAGGGAAAGAGTGTTTACAGATGGATTTATTGGCACTAGCGGGTAGTTGGCTCATGTTCTACTTTAGACTTTTAGGGCTGTTGTAAGAGGAACTGGGTCTACCATAGCTCTCCTAATGTTCTTCCTGCAGCTGCGTCTGTTTTTTAATCCAACCATCTTTTTTTATTTGCCTCTGCATGGTGCCTTGCTCTAAAGTTACAGATCTAATGGTTTTTCATAATCATTTTTTATCTTCTGCAGGTTTTCTTTTTATGTCATTGTTATTTGGTTTTTGGATTTTAAGAGCGAAAAATCAAATAAATGTTTATTGTTTTTCTTCAGGACTGATTAGTTTTTATCCAGTTGTAGTAAAAGTGGGTGTTTTGTGTTGTCTTTTGCACATGATAGCCATTTTAACCACCATTTTGGACTAAAAACAGGTGCGTCTGCATTCAGAAACATAGACTGAGATTTCTAGAAGAAAAACTTATGCATGCACTGATCAATGAGTGCAACAGATAAGCAGCACTGTATTTTCCTACACCAAAGCTACAGGATTCGTTGATCTGCCTCCTTCATAACGTTTAACTGATTTGTTGGTTTTCCCTGATTGGAACCAAAAAGACGTTCAAGTAGAAATAATATTGAAACTTAACTTCTAGCAGCTCAGTGTGTCACCTGTGTACCTATAGCTTTAGAGCTTTGACTTATATTTCCTTCTATACTGGTGAAGGTTCTCAGTCATCCAGGTCATAGTTATCGCAAAAAACCTACAATGCAGCAAAGTTAATCCCTTCCCGTAATCATCGCAGCACCACCTCCTGTACAGGAGAGTGGAGGACTTCGTCTATTCAGCCAGACCAATAATCCCCTTTAACGACAACCTTTCAGACACTTAGATGGTTATGGGTAGGGTTGTAAATCACACCCATCATGGCGATTCGATTCAGTATCAATTTCCTGACCCAACGATTCCATTATTTTCGATACTCAAGAATAGACCACGATATAATTCAATTCGATTAATTGGTTAATTTTTTTTAACCTTAAAGGCTAAAAAATGTTTCAAATTTGAAATAAATCAATGGCAGCTGTATTATCGTTATACATTTTATTTGAGAAACAACAGCAAAAAACAGAAATAGCAAAATTGTACTCCACCTAAGCCTATGAAAACTTCAGTCACTGAAAAATAATAATGCCTCTGTGTTATAGATTCTGAAAGGCCTTGCGTCAAAAAATACTGCAAGCAGAAAGAGGGTAATGGCTGAAGAAAGCGAGGTAGGAGGGCAAAATAGGTTTAGCGCCACCGCAGCAAGGGAGTCAGAATTACATCCAGGAGTAAATGGATTAAAAAAAACATGAATCGATACTCTTGTGGATTGTCGGCTGTTGAATCGATGCATAGATACAAAACAATTATTATTTACACCCCTAGTTATGGGATATTGCATGCTTGCAAAAGAAGCCAAACGACCCCCATTCCAAATAGGTGGAGCCCTTCGCCTTTTCCAATTTGCATGTTTTCAAAACAAAAGCAAGGCTTTGTTGGGCTACTTTATAAAACCTCGACCTCAACGCTATACCTGACATTTTGAATTGAAAAGCTTCCTGGATGGGAAGTGAAACGTCTTAAAACTTGGAAACAAAGTCCAGTGGATTGTTTTTTAAGTTTCTTTTTTTGGAATTTCCTTCTATCTGCAGACAAACACATCCATATGAGGCACTAGTGATCTCTATTTTTTTATGACTTTATGCTCTTTATGGCATGAATTTTTCAAATATTTGAAAGGCTCAGTTTGAAAAAACAACCATGCACATTTTTAGATGTTAAAGTAAATAACTTAGGTAGAAGTTTATGCAGTTCTTTGCACGGCTGAATTTATTGCAATCAGATTTTTTCATGTCCCTCTAATTCTAAAACAATAATCAAAGGCAGATCTACTTCCCCTGTATTCTGAGCCAGCTTGTCCACATATGAAGAGGACTTTTTTTTCGAGGACCTCTACTTAGGTCCAAAACAGATTAATTTCCCTGCCTGATTTTGATATATGAATTGGCAACTAGATTTTTGTTGTATAATTAGTACCACATGTTAAACGGTGTGCAAACACAGACTCTTTCTTGCCTCACTTAGGCTTTTCTCCACAAATATGTCACTATTGAAATGTCCTGGTAAGTAAATAAATAGATGTTGCCTCCCTCTTGCTTTAACGCCTGTTGAAGCTTGCTCACATGAACAATGCAATAACAAATATGAAAAGGCTTCAGACAAAAAAAAAAAAAATCCTCTGTCATGCAGTCAAGAATAACACACAAAAGGCTTCCTGCTTTTGTCAGAGTTGCATTGTGGGAGTGAAGTGTTGTTTCCTCAGCCCACTGCTGACTAAGTTCTCACTGATGGCTGCTTCGGTAGGAAAGGTAACCAGGATAAGTAAATCTCGGAGCAGGACGGATAAACTAGTGTCACTTTTTCCTCAAGCTGTTCTTAAATGCGAGTTCGTCAACAACTTGTTGCGGCAGATTAGATGGACAGCATGACAAATTAATCGGTGGAGGCTGACAGCTTGCTCAGATGGATGAGTGAATTATATTTTGCAGTGCCATGGTGACGGACCATTTGGAAATGAGATTACCATATAGTCTTTCCTCATGTTGGGCACAACTGCTGTACAGTTTGTGTAGCTAAAAAGAAAGCATCCTGTTTATTAGGCCAGTTACATGAATAGTACCTAATATCAGCCTCAATGTGAAGCATGAAGGTAGTTAGAAGCTGCTTAGATTCATCCTGTTTTCTTACTGGAGTTTCCTCTGGAGCCTTTTTAAAAATATTAATACTGTTTGGTACATTTATTTTAGAGCTTGTTTTTTGATGCTCTCGCTGTAAATGAAATGTCAAATTCGCTAAGGTGTAGTTGAATGAACAGAGAAAAGATGAGGCAAATTGTTAATATCTTATTGAGCAAGTATTTCACTAGACCAGGTTGAAAGCAGGGATTTTCTAAAGGGTCATTTTCTGGGTACTGTAGGTGTTGTGGTCAGCGGCATGTCAGTCCACAGAGATATAAGACTAAATATGAACAAGGACGGCATTGTTTACTAACGTTTTATTGCTAAACGCTTTTGTTTTGTTTGAAAAAATATCCACCAGTTTAGTTTAGTTCCCCACAACCTCGACTCTGGTGCTCCTGAGTAAAGACCCTTAACCCTACAGTACTCCCCAAGGGGATGGGTTAAATGCAGAGGTAAATTTCTCTAGTGTAAGATCAATAAAGTTCAATTATTAATATTACTATGTGGTGCTCCAATCATCAGAATCAGAAATACTTTAATAATCCCAGAGGGAAATTACTTTCGTTACACGCTCCAGTTACAGTTTCATATATATATTAGGGCTGTCAAAATTAACGCGTTAATGTGAGATGATTAATTTCTCGAATTAACGTGATAATTTTTTTTTACGCATTAACGCAGTCCCGCCCTGTTTTACCCACAATTCAATTGTCCGACATGAGCGAGATGGAGGAATTAGAAGAACCCGTTGGCTGGCTGGATGGATGGATGGATGGACAGTTCGTGAATAAAAAAAACAAAGACGGGACAATAAATAAACATGTTGTGGTTTGCTCACACTGCAAGAAGGAATTTTTGTTTCACCGAAGCACCTCGAGCCTTAAATATCATCTTAATGACAAGCATTAATTTGTTAGGGCTTCAACTTCAGC